TGATCTTTATCACCTTTCAATATTTCCAGAGCAATGTGATACGTTGATCCTTGTCTGCCAAAGAGTTGTACTCCTATCAGAGTAACAGCTTTACTCACAGAAAACCGAATAGCATCAGTAGCATTGGGATATGTCCATGAATCCTGTGTAACTCGTACAAAACGGTTCTTTGTACATTTTAGTCCTACTCCATCACGTCTTTTTCTGTTGAACATATTGGTCAATGGAGAAACATTTCCAAAGATCTGAACCAGCTCTGTAAGCTCTTGCTTTTCTAGAATTTCACGCGGAAGTACAATTTCTGCAAACTCTTGGTATGACATCAAATCAATCAATTATTTGCCCGTCCCTCCTTAAGAGACATTTAGCTGTCATTCTACTTGAATGACGTTCAACCTTTACTAATTAAACTGTTTTCCTTTCGCRTGAAACAGGCTTTCAGTATTTGACTTGGCTCGTAYTCGTTCAATCGCTTATAAACTGTTCTTAAAAGTGTCTTCATAGGTTGACCTTTTCTTTTCCTTGTTACATCTGAAAACGTTAGTTTCTTAATGTATCTTATATTTGATGAGCGTACGATGTGCGAGAACCATTTTAGTTGTTGATTATGGACAAATTCCTCCAATGGTGTTGCCATGCTGTATTGTATAATTTGCTGGTTATTTAGGATATAAGACATATCTGTATCTTGTGGGGTAGTTGTGGAATCACTAGATTGGGGTACCTTTCTCTTGTGTCCTCCTCTTACTAAATTACGTAGYTAGTAGTTGTATGTAGCAGTAAAAGTGTTCAGAGAAGCTTCTGGTAACGACCAAGTCTGACATGAATACGTAAGTTTACTTCTAAACATAGAGTCGAATATCTTTCTTCTTGTTACAAGCGAGARAGCGTGATTTTTGTAGAATAGTTCATCTTTAAAATAGGTGTTAATAGCCGAGAACTTTCTTGTCCATATCTCGCAGTTTGGGGTATATGCCTCATTGTATGTGAAATTCTGTCCAAGATAAGTAAAAGTCTCGACGTTTTTGAGATTCTCATTGTTAATTGTACAAATCGTTTCAGGATATGTTGTCTCATCATACTTATCAGACATAACCATGGTTCTGGTTTTATCCAGCGACATCTGTAGGCCAAATCTTGTTAATATATTGTAGAGATTTTCCATGGCAGTTTGGAGTTTTACAGCTGAGTTAGTTATTATAGCCAAGTCATCTGCATATCCCAGCCATAATAGAGATAGTACTCCAAAGCCCTTCTCTTCTGAACGTTGTGAACGATCACTTGCTTCGTTGGGTATTCTGTAAGGAATTGTGATATGTAGGTTTTCGTGTTGACATTCGTACTCAAAGATTCGTAATATATAGTCAAGATATAAGTTGAAACAGTATGGGCTTTCACAGCCACCTTGCCTTACGCCACTTGTTGTTTTAAAAGCCTCTTCGTTTTCTTCACCTGACATCACAGCATATGTTTCATTATAAATGCATTGTAATAGGTCTAGTAAGGTAGTTAGGTTCTTATTTTGGTTTACATTGCGGTTCTTTAAGCTCCAAAACATCCATTCTCGAGGTATCCAGTCAAACGCGGCTTTCAGATCGATGAAACCAACATAAAGATCTTCGTTTGATTCATGAAATATCTGTTGGACCCTTTTCAGACAGTATATGGCGTCCTGGCAGCCTCTGTTTGAGCGAAAGCCAAATTGGCCCTCCAGAAGGTTGTTATCATACCATTGATCGAGACGATTTAGGATTATCACACAAATTAGCTTTAACTGTGTTGAGCTGATGGACAGTCCACGGTAARTTTTTGGATCGTTCATTTTACCTTTGTTCTTGTAAAGAGTCTTTAGTCTAGAATATTTCCAACTAGATGGTATCTCTTTTTGTTGCCAGATATCTGCATAAAGATTAGTAATAGCACGTATGCTATCTGTATCCGATATTAGGGCTTGTAGAAGTTCTGCAGGTATATCAGTCGTTGACTTACGAAGTCTAAGTTGTTTTATGGCAGATATGACTTCGGTTTCGTCAGGTGGATCACCATTGATAAAATCAGTTGGAATATGTAGCAGTGAAGTTGATATGT